CAATGACTGGCCTACACTACCTCACCAGTTCCTTGAATGGAACTCAAGCCAGTTCACTTTTCCCCTATAATTTATGTAATTATAAAAAAAATTACATCCTACAAACCAAACTTCGAGGAGTTCGTTCTAGTTTTTAATTAATATGTAAGCAGAGCTTAATTATTAATATGTCACAGATCTGTCTGTGTCTTGGTTTCCTTCAGTAAACAAACATCAGAAAACACAAATTTCTGTTGTTGCTATGGCTATATGGGCACCAGATGACTCCAAGATTCCCCAAGGTGAGGTCCAGGCCAGATGTAATTTATAACTGGCCTGTGTGATCAGACATTTCTCTCCCAACCACCAGTTCCCAAATTGCCACACAGAGACTTACATTAATTGCAAAATGTTTGGCCAATAGCTCAGGCTTATTACTAACTAGCTCTTATTTTTAAATTAATCCATTTTATTCATCTATTTATTGCCACATGGCCCGTGGCTTCATCTGTCCTCTAGCATCTTTCTTCCCCAGCGGCTTATTGGTGTCTCTCAAGTCTGCCATTTGTCATCTCAGTCCTCAGTATGATTGTCCCACCTAACATAGCCTGCCTTGCTATAGGTCAAACAGCTTTTCTTTAACCAATGAGAGTGAGAAATATTCACAGCATACAGAAGGATTGTCCCACAGCAGGATTGCCTGGCAGGAAGGAAAATATTCTAATGAGACACTGTGTCCCTCACTTTGACTATCAGACTATTGAATTCCAAGAAATTAGAATTCACACTGAGAAACGAAAGGGTTAAAGCCTGGGCCAGCCACATGAGAGGAGTTTGTTTCCCTAAGATTTACAGCTTGGCCAGACTGAAGGCAAGACATGGATGACTCAGTGGTGAGTGGGATCACACCCTGGCCAGGACTGCCTCGCTATGCATAGCTCTGGTCCTCTGCTTAAAATGTAAACCTATGCCAGAACCCGAATATGAAGTTAATATGGAAGGGGAGTCATGGGATCTTTGTCCCTCTTCCCAGTGTGGCCACAGTCAACAAGTCTTCTTATAATACTACTGACCTGTTTAATGGACTTAGCACAGGTGACTAACCCCGGCTTACTGGGGATATCACCCCCGGCTCTGACCCGTAACCATGCTTCCCCATTTCTAGCAGTCTTAGTGATGACGTCCTCTTGGTGTCATTATAGACAGTAGCCCACGCTTCCTCTGCCCTCGGTTGGACAGCACAGCTTGTACTGTCTGCTCCAGCTCCTCTCCTGCAGGACTGGGGACAGGAAGCCATGCTCTCCTCACTGGACCACTGCAGGAGAATGATGGTACCCCCTAGGGAATGGGCCTATTGCAACCAGGAATGGGTATGCCATGGGGAGCCACTCTGATGTCTATTCTGGCCCTCCCTGACCAAAGAAAGACCCCAAATCAAGTTAGGGAACATTCCCAAGAAGCTTCAAGAAGTTTGCAAAACTCTAACTGGACGTAAACCAAGGTCTTGGGTTCTAAGTAACAGTGGGAGTGAGAGCTGATAACTACACATTTACAATCATGTCATGGGCCACCCCTCAACACCATCACTGTGCAAAACCCTCCTCCACATCTACATCCCCTGATCCAGAGGAAGCAGGGTTATCCACTCAACAGAGACAGAAAATAAGAAAAATTGCCCAAGATCTCCAAGAAACCCAAGATAAGAGTCTTCCAAACTCAGCCCAGGAAGGTTTTCCAGACATCTCCTGTGACACTGTGTGGCTTTGTGTACGTCCTGAGTAAGGAAAGGTAATCACGGGTTGAGGAAGAAGGCCCAGGGAGAAGATGCTGCTCTATGGTAGCCCACAAGCGGCCCAGCAGCACAGCAGCAGAGTGCTCTAGTCCCAGGGCTCACTCTCCATCCGGGAAGGACACACAGCTGCTTCCCAGCATTTGTCATTTTCCTCTCTTCTTTTCCTTTTTGTTTTTTGCTTTTTGATCGTCGAAGTCTGGGAAGCCAAGCTAGACCTGTTCAGGTGCTGTGCAAGCACTGTGTTACTAATGTGCCCTCAGCCCACTTTTTTCTTTTTTACTTTGAGTCAAGGTCTACCTAAATTACCCAGACTTGCCTTTGAGCTCACTCAGAAGCCCAGGCATTAAACTCTCAGTCCTCCTGCCTCTGTTTCCCATATAGCTGGGGCCGCAGGTATGGTTGCCATTTGCCATATGAGTGTGCCCATGACTGCAGACTATTGTGGTGATGTCACTGAAGGTAGATGTGGAAAATGTGGCCACAGTTTGCACTCCTGTTTGTTCTAGAATACCAGACATACATACATACACACACAGAGAGAGGGGGGGGAGTTGCACTCCTGTTTGTTCTAGAATACCAGACATACATACATACACACACACACAGAGAGAGGGGGGGGGGGAGGCTATGAGTAGCCCCCAACTGGGAGGCAGAGACATCACGTGTTCCTACATAGAACCTGGAGGCCCTTGAGAGGTGAAGAGGGAAGTGTGTTCAGACCACAAGACTTGAGCTGAGAGCCCAGACTTGCCCATGTGGCCCAGCTCCCAGCACTGCCCTGGTGACCCAGTCAGGTTCTGCCGGTTGGATGCCCTGATGCTAGCTAGCAACAACACTGGCCTGGTAAATATTATGAGGTACGTTACCAAGCACAGCCTCCAAGACAGCCTGGCTGCTTCTGGGGAAAATTTCCCACTTTTTTTGCACCTAGGTGGTACAGGGTGGTCAGGAGAGAGCCAGGGCTCTGTGGGCCAAATCCCAGACTTCACCTGCTCACCAGCCTTCCCCCTGAGCCATGCAGAGGGCGCTGTCTTGTGCAGAGTTGGGGCAAGATTCTACCCTGTCCCCAAAGAACAGTCTGAGAGAGGGAGATTTTCAAACTACAGAAGGCAATCCACAGCCACCAATGGACACCTGTTGAGTGTCTCCACCAGCTCTGAAGAATGAAGGATACCTCAATGCCAGTGGGGGCAATGTCACACTATGGCACACTGAGGCACATCTGGATAACTAAACCTAGAACTGTGATGCAAATGAATTTATTACTAGGATCACTGTCCCAGAAAAGTTTAGGAAACTCTCTGAAAGAAACAAAGGTCCATACTCCTGACACACACAAACCCTAGAAAATACAAGCTGAACCAAGTATGCTGGCACACATCCCTGATCCCAACATTTAGGAAGTTGACTGAGACAGACCATGGGCCCAAATTCAGCTTGAGCAACATAAAAGCAGTGTTTGATGTCAGGCCTGGGGTAATAGGTCTAGAGGTTAACTCCATTGGTATGGTGTTTGTCTAACAAGCACAAGGTCTTTGGTTCAATCCCCTCATATTACACGTGGTATCACATACCTAGAACCACACATGGTACCACACACCTGGAACCACACATGGTACCACACACCTGGAACCAATCACAGGTGGATGTGGAGGCAGAAAGACCAGGTGGTCAAGGTCACCCTCAGCCACATAGTTTGATGGCAGCCTGGGCTACAAGAGCCTGTCTCAAAAAAAAAAAAAAAAGAAAAGAAAAGTTTAAAAACAGGTTTCATAGAGAGAGAATAAGGCCTGGTGTAGTGGCACATGCCTTTGATCCTGGCACTTAGGAGACATGAGGCAAGCAGATCTCTGTGAGTTCAAGACCAGCCTGGTCTACACAGTGAGTTCCAGGTCAGTTAGGACTGCAAATTGAGACTCAGTCTCAGAGAGAAGATAGAGGGGGAGACAGGACACTGAAGCATTTCTCTCAAACTGCCATGAAGTTAGGAAATCACCCTAATTTCTTAACTAACCCCTAACCCACTTACTCACCCAAATGACAAACATGAGATCTTCCTCTAGTCACCCTGAGCTGAGTCACATCTGTAAGGAGGTCAGGGAACAACCAGCATGTGCTGGGGAAGACCTCTGGGCTGGGGCAGCAGACAGCAGCACCTGGAACCTAAGGTCACCATGGCCACCCAGAATCTGGGCAGCCACCATGCCTGATTTGGGGAATATGAACCAAATGGCATACAGCTAGAGAACACCTGGCAGCAAACCTGTCCCTGAGTGCACGTGTGCCAGAGATCAAATGACAGAATGACCCATCAGATAATCTTGTATAGCGCCCTTGTTTCATTGCAGAGCAAAATGAGGCCAAGAGGGAATAATCTAGCTGCTAAGGTCACATTGCAAGATTCAAACAAGCACTTGACAGGCCAGGGCTCCTTCAAGCTGCAGATTGGAGCCTGAAACGGATTAGGGGTACACAGCACCCCTATGTCAGACAAATTCATCACACTGTCACCCACCATCTCAAAGCTAAGCACTGTGCTGGGTGCTTTAGACACAGTGACCGATCTTCCTAGGGAAGAATGGACCTGCCGCCTTAGGCAGTGGGGACAGCTCTGTGACCTCGCACAGCCTCCTTTGCTGTCAGGAAGCTCTCCTGTCTAACCTTAATCCTTCCTGCTACAATAGTATCAGATTCCTCTCAGTCCTAGGAGCCATTGCTTGCTTGCTTGCTTGCTCACCCAGCCTAAACTGCCCAGGCCCTCTCCCAACTCCTGAGTCAGCTAGCCCATTGTTGCATGACCCTGTCTGCTAGGGTGCCATGAAAGCTCCAGGAGATGAACCAGCTTAAGTTTGTGGGCAGGAGGGGAGGGAACGCTGAAGAATGAAGTTGGTGGGGTAGCTGAAGGGACAAGCAGATCCCACCCGATTCCTGAGTTTTTAAATCTAGGCATGTCAGTTTAAATGAGGGTGGTGAGGCCTCTAAGTCTGTGGTATTTCCTATCCTATATGCAAAGAATACAAGCCCATTGTTGACATTTTTTAAACAACAGACAATAAAATAATGCTTGAAAAACAAATACAGGGCAGGATAGATGAGTCGGTGGGTAAGCTTACTGCCAACCCCAGGACCTACATGGTAGAAGGTGAGAGAGATCTGACTTCCTAAATTGTCTTCTGACCTCCACAGGTGGATGTCCACACACTTACATAAAAACACATGCAAATAAATAAATGCAATAAACTTTTTAATAACATTAGGAAAATTAAAACAAAACTCTTTCAGTAATTCGATCTCCTGGAAGCAGCCACTACATTAGGGCGTGGCCTTCCAGGCACTCGCTCGCAAATCAAAATATCTGTCAATATCCTTCATTCATCACAGGTTTACTTCATACTTACTACGTGCCAGATATTGTTTGAGCATGGAGAGTACAACAGTAAGCAACTGGGAATCGGCAGTCTGGTGCTTTCTCAGCATGCATCAGACCTTGGCTATAAAGAAAAGAAGAGAAAAAGAGAGAAGAAAAGATGCCCAGCAGTGGTCTTGCATGTTACAATCATGCCTATGACATATGCTTAAGTGTGCGCATATCTGTATATTCATATCTAGAGTGGCATCACATCCCAAGCAGAGGAAGCATCATTTATAATTAATTGCCTGTACGTATTTCTATAGTAAGACCACACAACACACGAAGATTTCCACAGGCTTCCTTATCTGTGTCATATAAATCACTGTCCATGGCTGAGTGTTCTCACACACACAGCTCCTCACACTCGCATACACACACAGGGAAGCCTGTGAATGGAGTCCAGTCCTGATCCTCGACAGTGTCCAGGCTTTTCCAGGACAGACTCATTCCCGGTATTTTTTCCAGGAGGAGCAGTGTTCTCCCACACTCGACTCCCCCTGCAGGTGGCCCAGGTTCCTGCAGCCTGAACTGTGCTGGGAGCCTAAAGAAAGGTTACCAGGAGCAAGGTTTCCCGGAAGCCCATTCTCCCTGCCACCTCGGGGAGGCCTGATGTGGCTGGAATAAATCACCAAATGCAAAGGAACTTCAAAGAACTAGTGAGTCTCGAGCCTTTTCCAGGACTTAAATGTCACAGCTGGTCCCAGGCAATGTCTCAGGAAGCTAAAACCTGGGATCCTAGTAGTGTTTCAAAGAGCTAAGTGAGGCTGAAATTCAGGAATAATGGGTCCCTGTGGGCTAAGGTTGAAGGTCAGCTGCCGATGTCCATGGAGGAGTGACTATGGGGCCTCAGGCAAAAGACTTAGCTTCCCTACCAAGCTCCCCTGTATTTGACCAGGGGAAATAATGCCTATTTCTCACAGCAACACTATGTATAAAAACAAGATGATACCAGCAGAGCCCCCAAAACAAAAGTCATACACCAGCTGTTTGCTTTTGTCATGACTAACTTCAAACCCCTGGCCCTTCTCACCTGCCAGGCCTGCCACCGTTGGATACTGGCCTTCCTGAGACTCCCCCTGCTCTGAGGGAGCTTGTGATAACAGCAGGACACGAGTGTGAGTGTGCAAAGAGATGATGTGTGATCGTGTAGAACTGTGTGTGTGAGCTCACAAAAGCCTAAGTAAAGGGGTAGTCAAACATGGTGATACATGACTGAAATCCCAACACTCAGGAAGCTAAAACAAGAGAACAAACCTGGGCAAACATAGACTGTCTCTAGAAAAAAAAAATAGAATATTTGAAGGCATACCTCGCATGTGTGTAACATAGTGTGTTGAAGAGTAGGGGAAAGGGGAGCTTTTGTGAATGAGTGCCATGCGTGTCACGCATGTGTGCTGATGTGTAAGGAGTGTGAGAGGGTGTGCAGGATACAGAGTGTGCGGGGGGCCGGGGTTATGAATGTGTAAGAGCTGGTATCTGGGGCTGGGTGCGGAGGTCCATGCTCCACACACACATCCCAGACGTACAGCCCTTGGTATGGGGGCTTTGTTGCTGACAGCACAGTCCCATGCTGTAGGACAGATAGTCTGTGACTTGACTTTTTTCTCTTCCTAAGCTTTGAGGTTTTCTAAAGAAAAGCCAACTCCACCCTGCCCAGCCTCACTCCGCCCTCTGATCGAAACTGGAAGGAGACCAAAGCCAGACAGCATGGGATGCACCCTTTGGGTAAGACCGTAGGCTGGTGTCCTTTCTCCACCCCTGCTCCTCTGAAGGACTGACTGAGAGCCTCAGCCCCCTCCAGACTGGGAAAGCTTCTCAAACCACCTACTCAGGGAAGCCCACTCCCTGCCACGGGCAACCAGGAGGGATCTTCAGATCCCACGACCATCCCCTTTCAGGGCAGGGCTCCACTCCACCCACATCTCTCCAGAAGCAAAATCAGGAAAGGGCTAAGAGAGTGGCCCTCAAGGAGTAAAGGGCACTCAGAGGATAGGGGCTGGGGCGATGTGGCTTCCTTCATGGCCTTTCTTCCAGGAAGTCTCTTCTTGTGGCTGAAGATCACCATTTAATATGCAACTAGTTTCTGTCAGGTGCTTTACATATGATACCAGTGGCTAGCCTCGTTTTATAGCTGAGAAAACTGAGGCTCAGCCAACCTAAAGGACTTGTCCTAGATCGCACAGCCAAAGGTGGCAGAGCTGGAGTTTGCAGCTGTCTGTAATGCCTCTTTCAAATCCTATGTCTGTCTGCTCTCTGGCTGGCATTGACACCCCTTCTTCTCTCCCCTCTCTGGAGGTGAGGCAAAGCCCAAAGAGAGAGGCATGCTCATACCAGATGGAACATCTGGGGGAGTAGTAGGTGATGTGGTTGTCAAAGGGGCGCATAATGACCTCAGAAAGAAAGGGAGATGAAGGAGAAAGATGAGGAGGCCACAATGAAATCTGTTCACCTCTATGGGAAGGGTGGCATGGAAGCTTATGGAACATAGGGTGCAAATAGGATGCAAATGCAGGTCGTTGCCTCAACTCTCCCAGTTCAAGTCAGGCTGCAATGTCTCTGCTCCCTAGGCCAGAGCCTTTCTCCTCACAGCTACTTCTATCAGGAGTCTAGGGCCCTTAGAGGCCCAAGCACTGGGTAACATCCTGATGTTCATGAATCCAGCTCAAGAATGTACCAGACATTGTTCCTCAGCCTCCCTGTCCCCAGAAACAGAGAGCCATGTCAGGGGAGGGGGAACCTCAGGGCCATTCAGTGACCAAAGGAATGCCAGAGAGAAGGGGGCCTGGGCAGGTATGGCAGGAAGAAATAGCAGGACCCAGTAAATGTTGGGGACAATGCAAACTTCTCCTGAGATTCCCCACCCAGCTGAGTTGTGAGGAAAAAGCAATGTCAAAATCTGCCATGCCTTTCTTCCTCCATGGAGAGAGATCATTTTGAATGCTCCCTGCATCCCCCAAGCCTCTTGAAAGCAAGTCAGTGATGAGTTAGATAGGATAATTCCCATCAACGCACCCCTCCCCATTTCTCCTTTGCCACAAACACACGGGATAAGGTACCAATGACATAAGGGATAGAAGTTGAGATGAGGAAGTCAGTAAGCAGTGGGACTGGGTCCAGGGGACACAGATAGACGGAAATAGGGTGTCCCTTACAGACTAAGAATCGGTCACAGTTCTGCCTTCTTGCAGTGTTTTGGGGGCTCTCTGAGTATTTTTTCACCAGAGACCAGAGCCTCATTCTTAGTCTTTCAGGGTGGCCCCATTGGAAGACGAGGCTCACTGGCTGTATTAGTCCCAAACTCACTTGCCTCTGATTTATAGAGAAAGGGGAGCCAGATGTAAAATCAGAACAATAGCCCCTGCCTGAGTTATGGTGGCAATTAAGGGGAGTATTGATGCATTTAGCCTGCACTGCAAGGGAAGAGTTGGGTACCTCTCTGCACACCCAGGACTAGGAAGAGGGTGCGTGCCTGAGCCCAGACTGGCAGGTGCTAGCCAGGGCGGTCTAGCCATGCCGGTTTGCATGTCATTTGCATGTGTTCTTCTAGTCACCAACATCTGTCACTCCTGTCGCTACAGAATCTCTGGGTCACAAATTCTCTGCCTCTGCCTTTATGCCCTTTGCTGGACTCCTGATAGCTAGAGGACCCCGGAAGAAAGAAAGAATTCAAATTATGGGGACAGAGGGTCGGAGATACGACCCAAAGTCTGAAGAAACTATGGGCTTCCGCCGTCTGTGGAAACCTGGCTTAGGGCGCCCCCTGCAGGACAATCCCAAAATGCAGGGAGATCGAGAAAAGCGAGCCTGGCTCCTCCCCTCTCCCCACTCATAGGCAGCTGGCAGCAGCCCGGCCCGGCCCGTTTGCCTCCCAGAGGCTCTAAGGCTGCCTAGCACCCAGGATCCGCCAGGTCTGAGTCACCCCAGAAATTTGTATTTCTCCCTTCCACCAAGTAACCAAGACCAAGTGAGTCAGCATGGTCTTCCCAAAAAAGCAACGCAAGAGTATTTGGGAGCGTTGGGCTATGAGCACCATCATTAACTATCTATCATGGGTGACAGAGCCCACCATAGGCTCACGTGGCCACCCAGCAGTTTAGAGTAGAAGGAATTGTGGCTCCACCTTTGGAAGAGTTGGGGAACAGAGAGGATAAGATTGTAATGGGGAGAGATCCTCACACAGCAGTACAGAGTGACCAAGTTCTCTCCAGGGAGACCCATACCCCACAGGGGATGAAGCCAAAGAGATGGGACTGAAGCCCAGGCAGGGGAAGAATTCCTCGCAGCAACAGATCTCATGGGGCAAGGGGGTAGGGGACTCGTGTGACCCGGGAGGACACCATCCTCCTTCCCACCCAGAGTCAGTTTCTGCCTGTCCAGTTCAGACAGGAGGGAAATACCAAAGGAAATGCAGCCACAGCAACATTCGACTAGGAGGAGGGGAAAAAATGCCAAAGATGCTCTGAGCCTGCACTTGGCTTGTTGACATACACAGAAGATCTTGCCTTTGCCGTGGGCTCCTCCACCTGCACCTTTGCCTGAGCCCCGGCGTGTGAATGGGGGCACTGGAGAGGGCAGGGCAGAAGGGTGTGTGTGTGAACAAGTGAAGTCATTCTCTCTGGGTGGTTCCTTTTAATTAGTACCCTGAAAAACTCCCAGCCAGCAAAATTGAGTCTTGCCAACTGGGAGCCCCACCCTTCTGGCTCATCCAAGCCCTAGGGGCAAAAAGGGGAACAGAAAATCTGAAGGCAAAAGAGAAAGGGGCCTGCTGAGGGCCCAAATATTGAAAGAAGCCTTCTTAGCCCTCCAAAGACTCTTGGTGGGATGGAACAGGATGCTGAGTCTGGGAAAGCTTTTCTGCAAAGTTTGAGAGCTGGAGAGTGGGATGAGCTCCATGTCCCGGGCCTCCAGGAGTCCAGGCCTTGAAAATGACCAGTGTCCAGCCCTGGAGGTTACCCTGCAGATATGACATCAGGGACCAGGCATGAGAAAGGCCTCTGGGCAATGTGTCTTTTTGCCTTTATTCCAGCTATTTAAGCAAAAAGTCCTCTGGTCCCTCATGGCCAACCTCCAGAGTCAGCCAGGGGCTTGGAAGCAGCAGAGTACTCCACAGAATGACAGAACAAGCATTGTCCCCTTCTCCAAGACCCCTAGCCATATAAACCAGGCATACCTTTGTTTGTCACCTCTCCCTCAAACCCTTTTCCAGGTGACTATTACCAAACTTCCTAGAACCTGTCACCTGATATGATCATTCTATATGTGCCTCCATCAAGGACCTGACATTCGTTCCCCATCAAGTGCAGAGGACAAGGCCTGAGTCCTTCTGGATCTCGCCTCCCTCCCTAGACCCTGGCAGGAGTCAGACCACAGAGGGACACAGCTGTGCTCACAAGAAAATGGCAGGGACTGGGAGAGAACAGACACTAACATTCAGGACTTTTCAAGCCACAAGGACAGGAGACCTACTCTTAATTCCAACCCTTCTCCTAAAGAGTCACTGTGACCTCAGACACAGAGCTATTCCTTGAAGGGCTACACTCTGTGAAGTGGGGGTCCATCTGACAGACCTTGGTGCTCAGCAGGAGGGGATATGAGAGTGATGGTGAAATGCTAAATGGAAGACCAGGCCAACATGGCCTGAGTTCATCAGCAGAGGGGTGTTAATCCAGGCCCAGGCATTGGGCTTCACATGGCCTGAGTTCATCAGCAGAGGGGTGTTAATCCAGGCCCAGGCATTTTACTTCTTCTGAGCTCTCTCTCTCTCTCTCTCTCTCTCTCTCTCTCTCTCTCTCTGACTCTAAAGTACAATCTTCAGATTCCTGCAGCCCCAAGGCTGGGGACAGGGACCATAAGACAGAGTGGAGTGGGGCTTCCTGGAAACCCTGCAGGACCCAAAGTCCTCTAGGTCCCCTTTCAGCTGAAGAGGGCTGAGCAGCCAAGGCCTCAGAGCCAAACCAGGAAACCAAGAGGACTGGCGGGGAAGAAACACCTCTTATTACGATGACCCCAAACCTACCCAAAAAGCCATCAGGCCCTGCTAGCAGGGCACAAATTCGGCGGGGGGGGGGGGGGGGGCAAGTACACACTGTAGGGCTCAGTTGTTGCAAGAAGGTATGGCCTGATTTTAGGCAACAATGGAGAAAAGATGGGGTGACTGGCCTTGGGGACAGAGGAGGGTGTGTTAGAAAATGAAGGCGTCCTGACCCTGGGGCTGAGTGGGAGCTAGGGCACATCAGGCACCGCCTAGACGCGGAGGCCTCCTGGCCCGCCCAGCTGCCTTGCTGGTTCCCATCACACCCTGGGCAGTAAAACTTGATTTTATGGTCGCTGTGGGGGTTGCTGCTTTCCTGGTTTGGGGGGGGGGGGTAGTTGTGTCTGCAGATCCAAGCAAATACACCTGTGTTGATGTGTATCTGAACATGTATCGGTGTCTGAGGCTCTGAGTGGGTGAAGGCTGTGTGTCCTCATCGGCTGTGTTTGTGAGGCTGTATCTGTGTGAGGGAGAATCAAACCTACCATTTCTTGAGGATTTGTCAATTACTAGACACTCTCTTTATCGCCATAGCAATCTATAATAAGAAAGGTCTCCGGCTGTTCGTCCTGTGCTCGTATATAGCATATGAAAATCCAGGCCTGCCATCTGCATTTGTCTGGGCTTCTTTGCAGTTGAATCTGTGTGTATCCGTGTGCCAAGGCCAAGGAAGGCCCAAAGAAGGCTGGCCAACAAATGGGATCACCAGAGTCTTAAGATCATGACCTTCCCAGTGTGGAGACTCTCTTCTGAAGCAGAAAGTAGTCGGTGGTGTGGCTGACTGGGAGCAAAGAACTTTGCCCATGGAGACTGTGACAGGAAGTGCCAGGGTTCAGCCAGCACAGCCTGGCAAACACGGGAATCTGTCCTCTTCGAGAGGGCGCTGGGCACACATTATGTCGCTACCTGGGAAGAGCCCAGAGGGGCGCAGTAAGGACCCATAGCCCCCGATGTGCGACGTGACCTCCTGGGGATGTGGGGTGACCCTAATCAGCGGTGGCGCGGCAGGAAGGATCTAGAGAAGCTGCCCCCACCTCACCTCCTGAGCCCGCAACCTCTTGGGGAGGCAGAGATCGCGGGAACAGCAGGTCGCCAGGGTCGGGGTCCGT